TGAGAGAGATGATGATTCTGAGGCCACCCTATCCCAGCCATATTATTCACATATCGAGTCCCAACAGCAACAGTATAGGGATAAGCACGATAGTGCAGGTGAGCATGAATGATGGACAATCTTCGGGGATTTTAGATTGGGAACACAACAAAATACTAACACTCAGGGATTTAGGAATAGTCAGACGCCTGCTAATATCGATGATTCGTTTTTAGATCGAATCAATGAATTGTTAAACGAATTCAATCAATGGCACTAGCGTGACCAAGAAGAACAATAACGTCGTCTATCATTTTATTTTTAGATCATATGTTACTAATTTTATGCTTTATTGTAGTCCATGTATGTTGATATACTTATTCCATGATAATTCTATGTTTATCCTTTTGTGTGATGTAAATTAAATGCTGAATGACGGTTCATGCAGGGAAAGAACATATTAATATTCGCATATTCATTAAAAAACATGAAATTTCTTAATGGAGTACCCTCATTTCTTATTGAATTCCAAAAAAACAATATTTATAATGAATTTTAATAATTTTTTCGGATTTTTTTTAAGCTTTATTTTGACCGATTCACCCAATTTTCGATCCGGATCGCCGATTTGTCGATCCGGATCGGTTTTTTGGGAGCCCGATCGGGGTCACCAATCCGTTTTTTAAACCATTGTTTCTAGTAGAAGAAGGTTACAATCGATACGACCAGCCACATTTTAAGTCCCATGGTTGTAACTTGTAAGTATGCTATTGACTAAATTCAAAGTATAAAATTTTCTCATATTTCATCATATACCTCAAGCTATCTAAGTTGACATCTAAGAAATCATACATCTCAAGCCATCTAAGTTGACATCTAATAACTGATAGTGATTACAACCTCATTATAAAACTAGTAAATTAGTCTCATAGTATACAATCCTTTTGGAAAATAAGGACTATTTCTAGGCCAACTCGAGCTATTCCAAATTCCAACTTGGTGCTTTAAAAATACTAATCATGGGTGGTTCGATCCACTAATTTTTCAAAATAGTAGCCGTCATATTTTATTGATATTTTTTGTTTTATATAAATGAGATTGTATACTATGAGATCATTTATTTTTGTACAAAGAGGACATAATCACTTTTAACCCTTAGACATGATTTTTAATAGATGAAAGTATGTCACACATTTGAGAAATTTTATTTTAGGATTTGTGCCCGAACAATGACACATCCTAAATCACTAGGGGGTGGCAATGGACCTAGACCCGACCCAAAACCTGACGAGTAAAACCAACTTAGGACCGGGTATGAGTATAGAAAAACCTACCGGGTCAGGTCTGGGCCCAAATCTTGGGCCCAAACAGTATTTGGGTCCAGGTCTAATCGAGTCTAGTTTGGCGCCCTCATATATTTTTTGGTCTTAATTTATGAAAAATAATTAAATATATAGATATTTAAATTTTAAGATTATCTACAAAGATACCGTTTATTTTTGGGTGTGGTTTATATAGAGCCAAAGCTCTAAACAATCAAAGTAGAGGGCACCTTCAAATAGTATTAAGAAATGTCGTTTCAATACTAAAAATCTTAGTGATAGTCTTAAAATATTTTTTCTTCTCTAATTATAAATTTAAAACCTAAAAAATAGTGTAGATTGAGCAAAACTTGAAAATATTGAAAATTGACAGTCCAAAAATGTATTACAAGATAGTTTATTTTTAAAACTTGAAATCCCTTGTTTTTTTTCATGTTCATGCATCTTGATGTTGAGATGATCAATTTGAGAGTATTTAGCCATCAAAACAATCTATTCTAAAGAAATTTTTAAAGTGCACTTTAATTTGATTGTTCAGAGTTGGGCTTTATATAAATTTTTTTCTTTATATTTTGTACGTAAAAATCACTATCTTTCTTGTTCCTTAAACTTTAAAAAGGGTGGTGGTTATAAGGGTGTCGTTCATAAAAATAAAAATAAAAATTTAAAAAAAAGGTGGTGGTTATAAGAGTGTCGTTTATAAAAATAAAAATAAAAATAAAAAATTAAGGGATTACCTGAGCCATCCAATTTGACATCGAACGAACGAGTAAATGATTTACCTTCTTGTACAAAAGATGTCAAACGGGGCATGTGGCTTCTGCCGCAGTTGCAAACCTTTTAAATCGATCCTCACTGGTATAGCAAGGTGGGGGAAACTCTCTCTCTCTCTCTCTCTCTCTGCGAAAAGAAACCATGAGTTTATCACTCTTACAGGATTATTCTTCCGAAGAGGAAGGACCTCAGCAAGAAGACCCATTTTCTCAAAGCGACGAGGATACCGAGAGAGAGCACAACCATCTCTCTTTTTACCAATCACCCTTTCCAAACCCCATCCATTCTCTCAACAGTAATTCCCTTTTACCATCTGCACTGGAGGCTTTCTCTGAGGTACCTTGCCCTAATCCTTCTCTCTCTCATATGAAGTTTTAATTGAGGAACTACTTTCTCACACTTCTCATTGGGTCCCGAAAGATCTCGGGCCCCCCTGGATTCTTGAACAATTGTGTTGCCGAGCACCCTTCTTCGAGTGCTTCAGAGGAGAGGCGGCGCCATGGAAGCCGGAGATCGAAGAAAGAGAATAAAGATCTTCCTCCAGGTTAGCTCTCAGCCAGCAATTTCATGGTGATTATCGATTTCTAAGTTTCACTTCTCTATCATCCATGGTTAAATTTTTCGAAAACCATTAGAATTTCTCATGCTCGATATGTTGAGTTCTACTGCTCATCAAATAACATGTTCCTTTCGATTAGAGATTAGACAGTACTCAGTAGAATAGATAGTTTGAACTTCTTCTTCTTTTTCCCTTTCTTATGCTTTCTAAATGAAGTTGTTGGTTTGAAAGTTGAGGTAGTTCCATTCCTAGCATGGTTAGAGGACCCCTTTCCTTGCTGAGCTACAGAAGAAAAAGAAAGAAAGTTGAGGAAAGAAAGTTGAGGCCTATATCCAAAATTGGCCCACTTTGTTATTCGGTGTAATTGTTGACTGTAACTGGATGCTTAACAAATATGTATTTGCGAAGTTTGTTCCATCGAAATTTGATATCCACATGATAAGTTCTGTAGATATGGGAAAGGGGCTGGGGTCATGGTGTTAGCACTCCTATACCCTAGTCACCACTTTGTGGTTTCCATTCCCACCACTAACACCACCCCCACTAACACCACCCCCACTAACACCTTCAAAAAGCTAACTCGTAATCTACTTGAAAAAACAGGTAGGGGCCTATCTTCCCTACTGAATTATCCAAAAAAAGAAAAAAAGTTCTGTGGATTTTATTATGAGAGTTTTATGTCAATTTGCTCCCATAGTCATCTGATTCTGTTTGTATGCTGGTCGAGAGATTTCTTTTTTGTTGTTAACATAGTTTAATGTTCTATTCTATATACTAAAATTTTTAAACTAAATTACAGTACAATGATGTATTCTCAATCACTTTTGATTGGGAGTGATACTTTTTGGCCGTAATGTCTTTCTGTAAAAATGTGAGAATCTGAGGGTTACTGGCTTCTCTTTTCCCCCTTCTTCTTCTTTTTTTTTTTCTTTTCCTTTTTTTTTGGGGGTGGGGGGAGCGGGGGGAGCGGGGGGAGGGGCATGGTTAGTGGTGAAAAAGAAGGTTGGAAACCCTTAATGCAAAATTCAAGATTTAAACACTTAGTCTCCCTCATTCAAACAATGCCTGGATATTAGTGTAGCTTTGAGGGATTTGGGATATGGAACGTCTTTTAAAAGAATTGATTCATCACTTGTTGGGAACAGAGACTCGCTCGATTATCCCTTGTGGTGAACCCCCACTGCAACAAATTCATTACCTCAAAAACAACTCTCCAATCAATTTTTTTATTTATAATAATTTTCCAATCATTAGCAAAGTGATTCGAAGAATTTGAACACCCAAGAACAATATACCATGCAACAACTTTGGGGATTAGAGAAGGAATCCAAGAGGAGTAAAATAGGGACACCTAGAACTAGGACAACACACCACAAATGACAGTCCAAACACCAACATACAAAGATACATATTTCACCCTAATGCTACTTATATCTATAGGAAACCAAAAAAGATATGATTCCATTATCTTGAAAGATTTATAAGATTCAGGTAAATAGGTGATTCACCTCACCATATACAAGAACTGTTTCCCCTTTCCACTACCATAAAAATGCCATCGAACAATTCTCCATTAATGACACCATGACAACACCATTCTGCCACTGAATTGGAATTCTTATGAAATCACCCAAAACTAGGGCACATTCTTAGTTTGGTCTCTTTCCAAAAGGAAGAGCAAAAAACGCCGAATTTGAACTTTCCCTAAACCTCAGACAAAACCATCCAAAGGGGTCTCCCTTCCTTCTTGGCTCATAAAACCCCACCTTTAAGTGATACTTAAGTAGATGACATTCCTTGATCAAGAGACATTGGGATGTGATTTTGATATCAGTTATCGCAAACTTGACACCACCATCTTGCGCTGTGGTGATCAAATTAAACCTTATGTATAAAGATCGGCTAGAGTTGAAACCAATGGACACTCTTGGGTCTTGGCACCTTTACAAGATCACTGCCATTTTGTTCTTTCTCCAAACTATCGTGTGGAAAGTTAAATGATTCCCTACCTAAATATTTGCCTAGAAAATCTACTTACATTCTCCAAGGCAGTATTGTCGGAGTAGCTACGGTGACCCAAAAATTCTGTCAAAGATCAACTTAGAAGCATTTTGTGGATGCTTTCCGATTATGTTCTGGGGAACATTTTGTTCTTTTAAATTAACTAAAATAAAAACAGATAATATGTGGAAATCTTTGAGAAAAGTTGAGGCAAAAAAATGATATTTTGGAACTGCATAAATGCAGTGTATTTACTTATTCACATTTAACTACCAAATTGTAAAAGCTGTTTATCAATCACTTGGGAATTGACATTAAGATAGATAATGCATATAAAAGAAACTTGTGTCTATTCATAGTTTCATACTAGTAATATTGCTTGCCAACTTTAGGGATCTCAGTGCAGAACTAGATCAGAAATTTCTGAAATGGGGCCATAAAAGTCCACTCAATCATCGAAAAACAAGTTTGTATCGAATCTCAAATTTTCCTTTTTAAAAGATTAGAATAAATAGTTTTTCAATAATCAAGTCCTAATGCTTATTATGAACTAGATGGTAATAAACTTACGAGGAAGAGAGTATTATGATTTTCCTCTCTGATAAGTCGTGATAATAGAGACTGAAGCAAATTAACTCAACCTTACATTGTTTGTTATTGGAAGTTTGTTATCCAAGACCACAACCCAAGGTATTGAGCTAGGGCAATTCAATCAAGGGATCGTGTTAAAATATGAAGGTAATACATTTCAGATTTTAATGAAAGTTGGACATGGTAAAATACACAAAGAGAGTAGCTTTCCACATGAAAACCAACCCCACGCCAGAATAAAAAAAGAAAAGAAAATCAATCACTTAGTAATAGAGTTTATTTTCTTCTTTCATGCCAAATAAATAGATTGCTATTTTACCTTTTCAAGTTCAAGAATTTTCTTAGCAATGATTTACATACTATATATTTTTCATAGTTAGATTAGAAACACTTCTGTTGTATTTTCTGAAGGGTGCTAATTCTTTGCACCCACTCTTTGTGACTGCACTACAATGCCAACTCTCAAGTCATTTACCTGTTGCATTGGTAAATGTTAGACTTCAAACGTTCTAAAATCTGAAAGTTAGATATGTAAAATTTTCAAGCTGCTCAAGGCCTTCTGCATTGGTTCTTGTGCCTAGTTTTAGCCAGTTATTTGGTGCAAAACTTGAACTTGAGGAACCACTTTAAATCCTATTTTTCATTCTTTATGCACAATCTCTCCCCCTAGCCAACAAACCAACCATGCTCTTTCTCCCATGCAAAGTCAGATTTGTTTCCTACCACCATTATTTCTACCCTGAATCACACCCACCCATCCCTTGTGCATGCATTTGTGCCTGCACACACATAATGGTGTTCTGCTTGCCCATTTGCCATATTGGTGTTCACCATGTAAAATATGGTGAGTCAAATAGTGAGCTACCTCGCTATTTGGTCATGATGGGGAACAAGGTTGTCAAATGTGAGACGTGGACTCTATGCACTATGTGCCTCAATGCACTCTCAATATGGGTGCTTCACTTCTCATGGGATCAATAAATTTAAAAAAAATTCAAAATATAAGAATACAAAAATTTTTAACTTCCTATTTTTCTTTGGGTTAATTTACGTATGGACCATGTTAAAATTAACGGAATTACCTTTGGTTCATATTTTCAGAAATTTTACATCAAGGTCATTCTTTTGTCTTTCCAATTTTTCCTCGATTCGATGTTGCAAACATCAAACCCTTTTATTTTTCTTTTTTTTTTAAATTTTTTTTGGCATTTGTGGGTTGGTATGATTTTTTAGACATCAGACCACCCTACAATATAATCTATTCTTTTGTATGGGGTGGTCTGATGTTTCAAACATAGGATTGGTAATACTTTTTTTTTTTTTTTTTAAGAAAAGCCCAATATGTGCCAGTCAAATGTATGGAACATCGGACCCCCGTACAATAGAATAGATTAGAAACATCGAACATACCCACATATACCAAAATATTAAAAATAAAGGGGTTCGATGTTTGAAACATCGAACCAAGGGTAAACTTGGGAAATTAAAAAAATAAAAAAGGACCTTGCTGTAAATTTTTTGAAAATATGGACCACAATCGGGCGTGGTTGCGGCCCAATTGCGGCGCATCGCTTCCAAGGACTGTCCTAGCTAGCCCTTGTTCATTTTTTATTGCACCTAGGTTCTGATACAACGTGTTGCTTACATGGACTGCCCTAGCATGAGCATATAACACAGGTTCAAGATTTATGAAAAACTGTGGCAAAGTTTACACTAGCTGCATTACCAAACACAACGCTCATCCTTTATCTGGGCTTGGGACCGGCCATGGTGGAGTATGCGGCAATAACATAACATTCCAGTTGAAGATCTCGACTTCGCCCACCTGGAATTAGAGTGGGTGGGAGAAGTGGAGATGTCGATCTAGAGTTTTATTTGATCTCTGCATACCAATGAAATTTAAGGGGAAGTTTTATACAACGGCTGTAAGATCAACCATGCTTTATGAGATTGAATGTTGGGCGGTCAAGAAACAACATATCCTTAGGATGATAATAGCTGATATACGGATGTTGAGAGGGATGAGTGACAAGGCAAGAAAGGATAGAACTCGGAATGAATAAATACTTTAGGGGTGCCTTCAATAGGCGATAAGATGAGGGAAATTTGACTTGGGTGAGCTGGCCATATGTAGTATCAACCTAGAACATCACCTGTTACGAGGCGCGATTTGGTTCGAGTGGAAGGCTCTAAAAGGAAAAGGGGAAGGCCCAAAAGGATATGGATGTATGTAGTGTAAAGAGATATGATAACTTATGAGTTTGATTGAGGGTATGGCCATTGATAGAGCAGAATGGCGGAACAAGATCTACATAGCCGACCCTTAATAGTTGTGATAAGGCTCGGATGATGATGATGATGATTTTCTAATGCAATTAATATGCAAAATAAATTAATTCATCCCAATAGGCAAATACAAAAGAACATATATTGTACCAAGTTATCAACCAAGCACTTCAAAAATAAAATAGCATCTAGCAACTGAGTACATTGTAGTATATAGCCAAAACCAAAACCCAAACTACCAAATACTAAAGAGTCTAATTGTCTACAACTACTTAACAAAGTGTGCGACATCCAAAGACCAAAAGCTTATGATATAAAAAATAAATCGTTCTTTGCCTAAACATAATGTCCTGGGCTCTTCCCTCCATTAACATTTCAAAAAAATAAATAAAAGAAAGAGGTTATATAAAGTTACGACCTTAAAATGTAGAAATAAGTTGCACTTAAAAATTCCATCGTAAAAGGCTGTTTCGAAGTTGGAAAACCCTCTAATTGATCATCTCGACATCGAGATGTATGAATATGAAAAGACAAAAAAAAAAAAGATTTCAAGTCCCAAAAATAGTGCAACTTGAAACACATTATTTGGACCATCCATTTTCAAGATTTTCATGTGTTTATAGATCTACTTGCTTTGATCCATTTTTGGAGTCTAAAATTTTTAATTAGAGGTGAAAATGGATTCTTAGGCCATCCTAAGAATTTTTTACACCAAAATTACATCTTATGATAAAATTTGAGCGTGCACTTCTTTTGATTGTTTAAGGTTGCAACCTTATGCAAACTACACCCATAAATAAATATGTCTTTCCCCAAAAATCCATTAAAAAATAGCACAAAAATCAGCTTGAACTTTTGCCCAAAGAACCCATAAATTTTATCGAAATCTTTGAAATTAAAAAAAAAAATCAGTTTTTTATTTTTTTTTCACTTTATTCACCTTAAAGCCATAAAAAATTGGTTCTAAAGATTTTTTTTTTTTGTGGGGGGCGGGGGGGGGGGGGGACGGGAAGGGAGGAGTGGGAGTGGGTATACCCCTCAAAGGAAACCCTTCTCCCATTTACGAGGGAAAATGAACAAACTGCCCTTGTTCATGTGCATTATTCCTTCCCGAGCAGGTTCTTGCTCGGGGAGGAATCTAAAGGTCTTAAAATTAGCTGGAGTAAGACAGAGCATATGTAAGGAGGAATCTAAAGGTCTTAAAATTAGCTGGAGTAAGACAGAGCATATGTAATGCAACTTTAGCATGATAGAAGTAGAAACAAGGCTCGTCATCCCCACTTAATTATCCAAAAAAAAAAGAAGTAGAAACAAGGAATTAGTTAAGATTGATGGTCAACAAGTACCTAAGAGATATTATTTTTTATATCTTGGGTCGATAATCTCTGAGAATAGAGAGATTGAAGAATATATCATGCATAGAATTAGAGCTTGGTGGACAAAGTGGAGATGTAATTATGGAGTCTTATGCGATCATCGCCTTACTAATGAACTGAAGGGAAAGTTATAAGGTGATTGTAAAACCAAACACACTTTATGATGAAATATTGGGCGGTTAAGAAACAATATATCCATAGAATGAGTATGACTAAATTGAGAATGTTGAGCCCGTATTGGATAACTATGGATGGGAAGCATGGGTGCTCCCTCTAGAGAACTATTTAGTAAAGAAATCTTGGTTCTTGGTTCTTGGTTCTTCACCGAAATGGGATTCTTGATACTTCTCGTTGTTCCTGAATCCTATTCATTATTTTATTTTTCTTACAAATGGTATGCTAGTTGGTATGTATTTTATCAAGAAAGCAGAGCAACCAAATGGATAGCTTGTCCAAGATGTCCTTGGTTTAAATAAACAAAATAGCGCACTTTGTGTGTCGATAGCAATTATGCTACATTTACCCTCTCTACCAACATTACATGGTTTACTCTATTTTCATTCATGCAAGCAGGGAGCATGGTTTCAGGACTTAAGAATTTATTTGGAACTATGCATTGTCAGAAAAGGGAGGATTGGTATGATTAACTTGGTTAATGTCATCATGTTGCTTAGCCTAGATCCTTTAGAATTCTTCTTTGAAGGATGCGTTAACTTTTATTGATTTGGAATTTGAGGTTTGTTGTATTTGGGATGTGTCTCAAGGTTGCACTTGCCTTTATAGTGGATATTTTTGTGCTTGGGTTTTGGTTCCTCATGGTCTGTCCATGTGCAGTGGCGACCAAGAACAATACCGGCTAGGAGGGGTGAATTGGTTCAAGTAGAAAGCTCTAAAAGGGCAAGGGGAAGTAAGCAAAAGAGATATATTGACCTGTAGTCTAATTGAGGGTATGGCTCTTGATAGAGCAAAACAACGGAACATGATTTGTATGTCTGACCCCAAATAGTTAGGATGAAGCTTGGATAATGATGTTGATGATGATGAATTGATGGAAAGAAACCCATAATTGGTTCTAGTAGAAATTTTTTGAAAGAAATTCCCAGCGTTTGGGTGATTTTGGTCATGATTGAGTGAAAAATGCCAATGCATGAGTACCAACTGTAAATGCACATGTTTTTCGGCTGAGTGAAGAAAGAAAAATGCTTTCTTGAAATTTTTAAAGATGGTTTGCGTATTCTACTTTCTATCATTTCGGGTTGTGGACCTATGAGTGAAGCTCCGATCTGATGTGTCTGAAACCCAATTTCATGATCTTTATGTTTCTTGCCTATACTTTACCAATCAATTCTTTTCTTTCCTTTTTTTTCTTTTTAATTTCTCTGGTCTGAGCAAGAGCACTTTGAAACTGATGGTATGTTGTTTTTTAGGAGCCGTTGTTGAGGCTAAAGCTCAGTTAGTTGCCATTCGTGACCGAGTGAGAAGCGATGTGGAGGGAAACATTCCTCAACCTTCTTCCGCAATGCCACCTCCTGCAAGTTCTCTGGGAGATAGCAAGCGTGTGCCTGCGGCAACCCTGCCTGGCGCAGAAGATGCGGCAGATCTTCTCAGGTAAGTTCCTCTTCTTTCTATATTAGAATCTCAGAAGCTAAGTAATTAAATATTTTAATGAATTGAGTATCAATCTATATTATGACGAATGAATGATTTGAACCCAACCCGGAATTTAAATCCTAGCTTCTCATAGGTTCTGGGTTTAACTCAATTTTTTATTGTTCAACGTACCTTTTGGACATAGAATACCAAGAATTGTCCTCATTCCAATTCTAAGCTCTCTCACATTCACACTTATGTGAAGCCAATTCATTGATTAAAATCACTTTTTTTTTCTTCTACGGGAACATATATTGTAATTTCTAAAGTGTGTCTAGATTTATGTAATTTTAGTATATTTTAAATTGTCGTGTCTAAAATCTTCTTGGGTCCGTACAATGTAATCTCTCTCACACATAAAACTCTTGGGACTAATCTGTTTATTAAAACAATATATAAGTTTTTGTTTTCCTTTACAATTGTGCATTGTACATGGAAACAACTAGTTTGTGTGTGTAGATAAAAAGTGACATATGTAAACACAATTTATATCTTTGTTTGAAGAATGTGCCTTCAATGTGGGATACCAAAGACATTTTCAAGTGCTCGTGGAGGGGTAGTGTGCCCTGTATGTGAAGATCGCCCCCCTGCAAACCCTAACATGGAAAAGAAGAAGGGATCGACAATAAAGGACAAGGAGAAGAGCAAAAGAATGAAGGGCCAATCAACCCATGCCTCGTGGAAAAGCGAAACCGAAATGCAGCTGCGGCAGCAGTTTGATTAACTGAGTCCATACATTTGAGTGTTCAGGGATACTAATGGAGTTTACATGCTACCAGTTCAATTAGCCATAAAAAATATAAAATTCGCAGGTTAGTTATTTAAGTACTGAATTCTAGCTTAATTGTGATTCATCCATGTGGTTGTAGTTTAAATCAGTGAAAATTTTATCCATTTCTCAAGATTCATGCATCATATTTTTAGTTTTATTTTCATATATGTGCATCACGATGTGTTTTTTTTTTCACATATATGTACGTCAAAATGCGGTTGACAGAAGACAACACATTCAGAATGAAAATTTTGTTACTAGAAAGGTAAAACCAAATTCATGAATTGCTGCAATTTGCAATCTATCCAGAAATCTCAACCTGCCTACATAAGTAGGTCGAATAACTGTTCACGATTAGGACTTCTATTCAGCTAAAACAAGTAGAAGTCCTAATCGTCCCCAACCAATCCTACTTGTTTTAACGCCTCAAGTCCTTGTTTCAACGCCACTCTTTTTTCCCAAGCCCTCCCCTTGTATATCCTTATGCAAATCCTTTTTCCTTAATTGTAGCTAAATTTGTACCCAAATCCTAATCGTCCCCAACCAATCCTCTACTTGTTTCAACGCCTCCCTTTTTCCCTAAACCCTCCCCTTGTAATCCTTTTTCCTAAATTGTACCCAAATAGAAGTCATAATCATTCCCAACCGATCGTAATTGTCTCTTCTTCACATCCTTGTTTCAATGCCACTACTAAATAAGAAGATCCGAATTGTCTTCACATCCTTGATTGTTTCTTCTTCACATCCTTGTATCCTTGTTTCAACGCCTCTACTAAATAAGAAGATTAGAAGTCCTAATCTTTTTAACCAATCCTAATTATCTCTTCTTCACATCCTTGATTGTCTCTTCTTCACATCCTTGATTGTCTCTTCTTCACATTCTTGTACCCTTGTTTCAACGCCTCTACTAAATAAGAAGATTAGAAATTGTCTCTTCTTTACATCCTTGTTTCGACGCCTCTACTAAATAAGAACATTAGAAGTCTTAATCTTTTTAGAACTCCTAATCTCCTTGTTTCTAGGCCTCTACTGAAGATTAGAACTCCTAATCCTTAATTCAAGTCTTTTATTTTCCTAATCTTTTTAGAACTCCTAATCCTTGATTCATGTCTTCTTCTTTTTTTTCTATTTGTTTCAACGTCTCTACTAAATAAGAAGATTAGAAGTCCTAATCTTTTTAGAACTCCTAATCCTTGATTCACGTTTTTTTTTTTTTTATAGAGCTGAGACTTTTCACATCCTTGTTTCAATGCCTCTACTAATAAGTAAAAGATGGAACCCATTCCCGCTATCGCTACCCTATTAATTAAGCCTTTCCCTTACCCTTACCCCTGAACCACTGATCAAGATTACACTTCATCTTTCCCTTTCCCTTACCCTTACCCCCGAACCACAAATCAAGATTACCCTTCATCATTCCCTTGCCCAAATCAAGATTACCCTTCATCTTTCCCTTACCCCTGAACCGAGTTATTAAATCCCATCGATCCCCCACCTCGAGTTATTCTATCATTCTTGGCTCTCTTTAATGTAGTTAAAGGCATTAGTTGGATATGTTATTTAAGTTCATTGTTATACAAGAAAAAGGATGAAGGAGACATTATTTACATCCCTGAGAAGAAGGCATTAGAGCAGCAGTTGGACATCACGATCATGAAAGAGATCACAAATGAAGAACAATGGATACTCATTCAGGAGGATCTCAATGGTGAAATAATGCAAAGGAAAAAGAGGAGCTGGTTTGGATGTCTCCGAGTGCGTTGACGGTTTTAAGAAGACATTAGAGCAGGTGGATATTTTGATCATGGAAGAGATCACGAATGAAGAACAATAGATACTCATTCAGGAGGATATCAATGGTGAAATAATGCAAAGCAAAAATAGGAGCTGGTTTGGATATGGTGAAATAATGCAAAGCAAAAAGAGGAGCTGGTTTGGATGGCTCTGAGTACGTTGAGGGTTTTCAATTTGTCTTTCTTTTTATTTTTTAGTTTTTAGTTATAATTTTTTGTTTCTCTCCTCACATAGAAATAAGAGCTTTGAGGATTCTTACTTTGTAGGTCAAATACATCAAAACCAGTTTTGTTGGATTTTTTTTCTCAATCAGCTTGGTTGGTTGATGTTGCACAACCTTATTTTCATTCAAAGGATTTTCAGCTGATAACGATTATGTTTGCTAGTTAGTCTTATCATTGAATCGAGTCTTGAAATAAAACTAAAAACTAAATTATGATTGATCTCTATGACCATAAATTTGATATGGGCACCCTGCTTATATGATTATCATGATGCGATGATGGAACAACCAATTACAATGGTTATTATGTAAAAATTATATTATTCCTCTTTTCCTTGATAAAATTGGTAATATTTTTAGATATTTCACGCACTTCAATGGCCAATGTATTTATCCATTCATTATTCATATTTCTCCATGTATGATCGGCTACTATAACTACTCCCTATGCGTGAGCTCCTGTGTTTCCTACCAACGTTTTTTTTTTCCTATCTTGCTTTTGTATGCGTGAGCTCCTGTGTTTCCTACCAACGTTTTTTTTTTCCTATCTTGCTTTTGTAAATATAATGATGTTATAATCAATAAATGTGTTTCCCTTTAGATAAAAATAGGGCCGTCATGTTTGTTTAAGCTGCCCACCCTATACTACAGAAGTAAGGAATACCTATGAATTTTGATGCAGGATGCAGTTTTGGTGTCTAAAATTTTACGGTAAGCCTGAAAATCTATCTTCATCCCTAATTATAAAATTTTGAAATTTCAAAAAATATGCAAGATGCAGTTTTGGTGTCTAAACTTTAGAGTAGCCTGAAAATCTATCTATCTTCATCTGTAGATATAAAATTTTGAAATTTAAAAAAAAAGTGGAGATTGAGCAGATTTATAAACACTTGAAAATATTAAAAATAGACCGTCTAAATAACTTGTAACAAGATGTACTATTTTTGGAACTTAAAATCTTTTTTTTTTTTTCTTTTATAGCCAAACATCTCGAAGTTGAGAGATTTGAGGGTTTTCCAACATCGAAATACTTATTTTTAGTGAATTTATGAAGTGCACCTTACTTGCATCGTATATAGTTGATACCTTATATTAATTTTTTTTCTAAAAAAAAAAAATTCTAAAAAAAAAAAGAGTAAAAAGAAAATCACATGTTTAGGTAATTAGGTAATATTACATCTCAAATCACCCTCAAAGCTATCGAAATCATCTAAAAAATCATTTCTAAGCAATATATTTGTCATTTGTATTTTTTAATATATTTTGAACATCCTTTTTAATTCGTTTAGGGTGTTGAGTGGACTCAGCCGCGTCATATATTTTCGTAAATTAAGAGTTTCCATAAATTAAAGAATTATAAAGAAATTTATATATTTAATTATGATTTATTTATTTTCATATATATTTTTAACATTTGTTTATATTTATTTTCTAAACATCTCTCTATTGTAAAAGAAAATTATCTCCCACGATCTATCTTCTTCCTACATTTATCTAAAGTACAATATTTATCAAAGTATGTACTATTATAATACAATAATAATATATAAGCTTACAAATGAGTGCATAGTAAAAAAAAAAAAAATAACATTAATTTATTGAGATTTGATGTTATTAATTTTTGATACTTCCACCTTTTTGACGCACACATTTTTCCGTTTTGTTCACAACTCTTTTTCTTAATCTCGCACACAAATTTTAGGGATCTTTCTTTATTGAATATTCTCTCTATTCTCAAGGATAATTATCTCCTACGATCTAGTTTCTCTCTGTTTCTATCTTCAATATAACAAGAGAGTATATATCTCATAGTCTTTTATTTAAATAATTCTCCTAGGATCTATCTTCTTTATGTATCTATCTTCAATATAGCAAGAGAGTATATATCTCATAGTTTTTTATTTAAATAATTCTCTTACGATCTATCTTTTTTATGTATCTATCTTTAATGTAGATAGAGAGTATATATCTCATAGTTTTTTATTTAAATAATAATAGAAATATGCTATACTCTAAAGTTCCTCTATTTATAGGGTTCCTGCCTTACTCTCTCTCTAGTTGTAGGGTCCCTTCTTATTCTTAAGAGTAAGTTAATAATATATAACTGTGACTTAATAATGTGGTATAGATATATATATTTCTTTCGTAAAATCTCTTAAAATATAAGAGTGACTTAATAATGTGGTATAGATATATATATTTCTTTCGTAAAATCTCTTAAAATATAAGAGTGACTTAATAATGTGGTATAGATATATATATTTCTTTCGTAAAATCTCTTAAAGTATATAGATTTTCTCTCCTGTATCTTAAAATATCTCTAAAAACAATAGGATTTTCTCTTTTGAATAATATAAAGATACCCAACGTTATATGTTCTAAACTTCTGTACTCGAGAGTCACATGGCCTGCATTTTCTCTAGAGATAGGGTCCACCTTTATTTGTTAGCTAAATAAAATTGGCAAAGTCATTCATATTTTAAAAAGAGTCAAATATTTGAAAACCAAAAATAAAAGACTTTTAATTCCATGTTCCCCATAGAAGTTTGTTCGGGCACAAGAGTGATTTTGCATCATACTTATGATCAAAAGTTTGTACTTGAACAAAAATAATTTTGCATCATATTTATGGTCACGAGAGTATTCATGGTGCAACATATACATGCAAAAACGTGGCTCAAGAACTTTAAAAAGTGTGTGATTATTTTAAAGAGGCTCTTTGATAGTTGAGAACTAAATATTCACAAGATGGGCCATTAAGACAATATGAAAGTGAAGAGATGAAAGAGAGGAAGTAGCACCAGGTTGTAAAAGGAGATAATGTAGACAAGAGAAAGCCCAAAGGAAATAAAAGACAAAAGCAAAAGGGTTATAGAGATAGAAATTTACCACTGTCTTGAATCTCCAGCAAGTTAAGTTTCTAAAGAAGAGCAGAAATCATCCCATATCTGATTTATGGAAATTAGGGTTTTGCTCTATTAGCCAAACAGATAAAGAAATATATATCTCTTGATATTCAAACTATGACCCCTTTAATCATCACTATAGTAAAAAAGGATTAAAGCTTTGACTCCCCTTGAAGTATACATGAATAGTTATATATTTTTTTTGATAAAGTTAATTATATAGGTATAGTTTTATTATAAAAGGGCATAGCGATATGCTAAAATCACAAACACATAAAAGGGAAGAATACCATAGAAAAGAGAAACGGGAGAGAGAAAAAAATAGCTATACCACGCATGCCGTTCAGGCTTTAATGATCATGCGTGATATTTTACCTTATGACCAAGCGCTAAAATAGTAATATCAAGGTTTTTTTCTATCTTAGGCAAGGAAAGATACATTACGATAAAGTAAGGGAAGATAGGAAAAGAGCTTGGGCTTTGATCATGCGTGATATTTTACCACATGACCAAGCGCTAAAATAGTAATATCAAGGTTTTTTCTATGTTAGGCAAGGAAACAATACGATAAAGTAAGGGAAGATAGGAAAAGAGCTTGGGCTTTGATCATGCGTGATATTTTACCTCATGACCAAGCGCTAAAATAGTAATATCAAGGTTTTTTTATGTTAGGCCAGGAAAGATAGAGTACGATAAAGTAAGGGAAGATAGGAAAAGAGCTTGGGCTTAATTGGTTAGCACTTGACGATTTGCAGCTGCATGATTAATGATAATAAGTGATATATTTACCTCATGATCAATGTTCAAGCACTAAAATAGTAATATCAAGGTTTTTTTTATGTTAGGCCAGGAAAGATATAATATGATGAATAAAATAATAATATCAAAGTTTTCTATGTTAAGTAAGGGAAGATAGGAAAAAAAGCTTGGGCTTAATTGGTAAGTAAGGGAAAATATGAGAAGAGCATGTGCTTAATTGATTAGCATCAACCGCATGAGAGAATTTTTTCGTGTTTAACATAAACCAAACATGCCAGTAAGTGTCTCCTCGTATTTTTATCAAATTCAAACGTTTTTATAAAATTGTCCTATGCCTTTAAGATATTGATATCCTTATGAAATTATCCTTATGGGTCCTTATAAAATTGTTCTTATTTTTTTGAAGATATTCCCAATGTTAGATAAGGATGAAGCAATATTTTACAAATATATGGCGTGACCTATTTTTGTGGGTGAAGTTAGTATGAAGATGGGTGTGAATCCGTATGATTAAGGAAGGACAGCACGTGATATGGTTTAAGCCAATACTGAATCCTATTTTTATGGGAAATGGAATATCTACGTGAATCTATGGAGAGAGAGAGAGAGAGAATGAGAATTTAAAGGGGAACCTATGGAGAGAGAATGTATCTCATTCGCCATATGGATATCTACAAGCTATGGAGAGAGAATGTATCTCATTCCTGAAAGAAATATGGTTATCTACATTAACCTGTGGATTTCATCTCACGTGGTTGCCATATGGTTTCTTCTTTTGGAGTGGTTCCCATATGGTTTCCTGTTTTGAGAGATCCTCTTTTGAGAGATGGGTATGTGAGAAGTTAACTGGTCTTTCTTGAGATTTTGATTAGTGGTAGAGAATTTTGCTGCCTTATGCATGTAGTAACTTGCATCTTTGTGTTTCTGTTCTTTTATCTCACATCATTCTCTTCCTCACATCTTCATTGAATTTGATTAGTGGAAGAGAATTTTGCTGCCCTATGCATGTAGTAACTTGCTGAATCACGTAGATCTTTGTGTTTATGTTCTTTTATCTCACATCATTCCCTTCCTCACATCCTCATTGAATTCAAAGCTTCTACTTATTTGGTAAAAGATGGAACGCATTCCCACTGCCCTTCGAATTAAGCTTTTCCCTTACCACGCATCCTTATACACATTAAGATCACATATTCACCAAAATCCCATCAATCCTCCACCTCGATTTCTTCCTCTACAATTCTTGGCTCTCTTCTTTATAGGTACAAGCATTATTTGGATATGTTATTTTTGTTCACTTTTATACAAGAAAAAAAAAGAATCTCGACCAAGACAGTACAACCATTGCCATGCAATTGAAAGAGACAACGTTTACATGCCTAAGAAAAAGAAGACATTAGAGCAGTTGGACATCACGATCATCCCCATAAAGCATGAGATTGGTCTCATGGAAGAGATCACGAATGAAGAACAATGGATACTCATTCAGAAGGATCTCAATAGTGAAACAAAGCAAAGCAAAAAGAGGAGCTGGTTTGGATGGCGCCGAGTGAGTTGAGGTTTTCAATTTATGTCTTTCTTTTTATTCTTTAGTTATTAATTATAATTTGTTTTGTCGTTCTCTTCTCACATAGAAATAAGAGCTTGGAGGATCATCCCCATAAAGCGTGAGATTGGTCTCATGGAAGAGATCACGAGTGACGA